CCGATATGAACGATGAATCCTTTAACAAGCGCCGCAAGCTCTCCGCTGAAGTTGATGTCGATATCGGCGAAGCTCTGGCTTCATCCTGCATTAAGAGTGAGCCTGCTCAGGAGGTGGAGGTGCCGGCTGCTGTGGCCGCATCAGCTGAGCCAGAGCCTGAGCCCGAGGAGGACGACGACTGTATGCTGCTGCCCGTGCCCAAGGAAGAACCGATCGATGTGGATGCCTCCGACGATTCGCCGAATGAGAAATCCCCAAGCTCCAGCTCTTCGTCCACTTTGGCGGACATGTTGCATCGAAATAAGCCCGCAAATCTGCTTCCCTTCACTGGAGCCAATGTCATCATACCAGCCAGCATTACCACCCCACGGCCAGCAGTTGCACGGTCACGCAGAGTTCCGGAACGGCTGCCAATAAGCTGCAGGCGGGTAAGATCTCACTGGTGCCCACAAACTTCCTCATGCAATCGAAGCTGCCGGCTGTGGCTGGAGGACCAAGTCCTATCGCAACGGCCAAGGCAGGGGCGGGCTCCTCAGCTGCAGTTACTGCAGAGTGCCATCAATCAGGGCCCCGACTGATGATCAGTGGATCGGCTGCCGCACCGGCACAGCCGAGCAACGCCGGTCTGATGGCCACCGCTCCGGCAGGAGTCAAGTTTGTCCTGGTCAATGCGGAGCAGGCTAAGGCAGCGGCAGCTGCTGCAGCCGTGGGCAAGTCAGCCGCCACTTTGCCACTGGCAGCCGCCCAGGCTCAGGCTCAAGTTCAAGCGGCGTGCAGCAACAGCAGCAGCAGAAGATCCAACAGAGCCTCCACCAAGAGCACCAGCATCAGCAGCATTTACAACACCAACAGCACATCCAGCTGGAGAAGGAAGAGACTCGCAGGGCGCACGAGAAGGCGAGGGAGGAGCTGCAGTCCAAGCGACACATGACAAGTGAGTACATTTTACCTACAAAGAGAATTCAGCCAGAGTTCATTGCATGTCTCTCTCTCTCCTGCAGCTATGAGAATCCTACTACGCCAGCTTCTGAACGCCCAGAACGAGGCCAACGAGATCCAGCACAATCGCCTCTCCCTGGAGCGTGAACGTTTGGATTGGGAGAAGTCCATGGGAGAGCGTCTGTTTAACTTGTTGCCCAGCCTACTGCACCAGCCGGCACCTGCGGCTTCGCCATCCTCCACCACTCAGCGTCTTCAGCCACCGAAATTGCTCTTTACCACCGCCCTGCCGATGGCCAATGGCACCGTCTCTATGCCGCACATACTCACATCCAATTCATTGCCAAAAGTCATCACGACAACAAGCAGTACTGGCGGTGTAGCTGTAGCAGGATCAGGTGCTGGCTTAGTAGCCAGCGTGGCCACAAAACCGGTGGACAGTGATGTCCAACTAGTCACCCCCAAGCAGGAGAAGGACGGCTAGACCGTAGTGGTGCAAGTTGTTTTAAGTGATTGATATAAAACAAGCTCTTTAGTGATCTCAAAGAATTGATATTAATTCCAGTGAAATGAACGAATATGGTCTTAAGTATAGTATACTCTGAAATGGATCTCCTATAAATAAACATGGAACTAGTCTTGGATTTTGAATTAAAAAGTTTTGGTTAAGCCTGTAGATCAATCTGAATATAACTATAATTATACTTAATAATTATTCTACATCTAAAACAAAATTTAACTAGAACAGAAAGCTCACAATTACGAATGTATGTTGAGTCTCTCCATATCGCGGATTTCCATGATGTCCGTTTTGAGTCGTTGCTTAACAATCTCTCTCCAAATGGCTTCTCGATCCCGGTTATCCGACACGCCCATTCGCTGCAGTGAGGAATCTGTGATGCGTAGCAGAGCTCTTCCCGTAATGTCGTGCTGAAAAAAAGCAATCAAAGCCAGATCAGTAGGCAGTTGCTTTTTTGGTGTTCTTAAATTCATGTAGCAAGCGTTCGTGTTTTCCCAATTGTATATTGAGGCACAGGGGATGAACGAAAAGCTCCAAAAGCAGAGGCAATCCTAAGGAAAGGTAAGTCAGGGTAAAGGGAATCCAGGAGATTCCCACTCACCTGGGCAAAGAGCTGCTCGTACTGGGTGTATTCGCCGCAGTGGCGGCGGTACCACTTTTGCACATCGCTCACTGTCCACAGGTAAACCGCCTTAGGTCGCGTGGTCTTTGTCCGTGTTTATTTTGCGTGGAATTGCTTGTTTCTTCGCCCATTTACAATTATTTTAAATATTTGGAATTTTTTAAGAAAAACAAACCAGACTCGATAGAATCAAGGGCTGGGAGAAATAACTTATCGATATGCAAGTCGAATGTCGTGATTTGTGGTAGTTACTTTCCTATCGAAACATCTTAAAATCGTGGTGAATTATTTCAGTTGAAATTAGTTACAGATTATTTTTAATTTTAAAACTTTCTTGGGTGTTCCTTCTATTCCTTACGATCAGTTAGAAGACATTATTTCAATTAAGTTTTAGTAGCAAAATTATTATTTATTAGTTGGGATTAAGGTAAACATGAGCTTTTTAACACTTAAAAAATACTTAAGTTAGCAAGGCACGATTAAGCCCGTTGCACCTTTATCGATACATCGATATCACCAATTAGTAGGGCTCCAACGTTTATCGATGGCCGCCTGACACACCTATCGAAGGCGCACCAGCTCTAATCGTGACTGGCGCTTAATAACAACGACCGAAAGTGAAAAAGTCAGCAATAAATCTCGTAAATACGCAATAATTACAACTCAAACCCAATCGAAAACAAAGAAAAAATTGAATACGGCTAGTGGTTCAGTGGAAACGCGCATAGATAATTGATTGATAGACGTAACTCCCTGGCAAGTTCGTGTGTTGACCGCCCCACATCCGCATCCAAATTCCAAGACCCAAGATGGCCGGACTACACTTTTCGAGCGTGCCCAGGCTTTGTCCAGCGTGAATCGCGAGGAGAAGGACAGCTCGCTGCTGAATAAGATCGTGCGAGACCAGGAGGGCGCCGAGAACGATGAGGAGCGCATCCGCATTAAGGAGCAGGGCATCCTGCAACAGGGCGAGCTCTACAAGCAGGAGGGCAAGGCCAAAGAGCTGGCCGATCTCATCAAGGTGACGCGTCCGTTCCTGAGCTCGTCAGTAAGGCCAAGGCTGCAAAGTTGGTGCGTTCGCTTGTGGACATTTCCTCGACATGGACGCAGGCACCGGCATCGAGGTGAGTCCTTCTCGCGCTCCCTTAAAGAATTTACTAAGTCTTGTGCCACAGGTTCAATTGTGTAAAGACTGCATTGAATGGGCCAAGCAGGAGAAGCGCACCTTCCTCCGCCAATCCCTGGAGGCTCGTCTATTGCCTTATATTTCGACACGGCTTGTATACAGAGCTTTGTCCCTCGGCTCACAGCTGTTGCGAGAGCTGAAGAGTTGGACGATAAGAATCTGCTGGTGGAGGTCCAGCTGCTCGAGAGCAAAACCTCCACCACTGAGTAACTTGCCCAAGGCAGGCGCCCTCACATCGGCCGGACCACGGCCAATGCCATCTACTGTCCGCCCAAGGTCCAGGTGCTCTCGATCTGCAGTCGGGCATCCTGCATGCGGCGGATGAGCGAGATTTCAAAACAGCGTTCTCCTACTTCTACGAGGCCTTCGAAGGCTTTGATAGCGTGGACAGTGTCAAGGCCCTGACCTCGCTGAAATACATGTTGCTGTGCAAGATCATGCTGGGACAGTCGGACGATGTCAACCAGATTGTCAGCGGAAAGCTGGTAAGTTAGATATGAAAATAGAGTTGAAAGATCTCATCGCAATCGTTTAAATGTTTTCTTAAAGGCAATTACCTACTCAGGCCGCGATGTGGATGCCATGAAGTCGGTAGCGGAGGCCTCACACAAACGCTCTTTGGCTGACTTCCAAACTGCGCTTAAGGAGTACAAAAAGGAACTGGCCGAGGATGTTATTGTGCAGGCACATTTGGGCACGTTATACGATACCATGCTTGAGCAGAACTTGTGCCGCATCATTGAGCCCTACTCCCGTGTGCAGGTAAGTGAGCAACAATTATTGTTTCCTCTGTAATGCCAGTAAACCTCTCTCCCTCGCTTACCGTAGGTCGCCCATGTGGCTGAGAGCATTCAGTTGCCCATGCCGCAGGTGGAAAAGAAACTGTCGCAGATGATTCTGGATAAGAAGTTTAGCGGTATACTGGATCAGGGTGAGGGTGTTCTGATGTGTTCGAGGAGACGCCCGTCGATAAGACCTATGAGCGAGTGTTGGAAACTATCCAGAGCATGGGCAAAGTGGTGGACACCCTCTATCAGAAGGCCAAGAAGCTGTCGTAAGCGGAGCGCAGGAAGCACTATTCAATTCACACATGATATCAGCATAATTAGCAGACTTCTAGTTTTCTTTTGTATTTCCAACAACTACAACACCACTCTTAAGCCGAGTCCAAGCCAAAACAAGTTTGTTTCTGTGAAAACTAAATTAAACCGATGGTGGCATTTGCAGAAAACCAGCAGAAACAGCCACAACAAGAAAACAATTATGATAAAATGTAAAACAAAATCCATTAACTAACATAGCAAAATTATTAATCATTGAGTGGGATCGAATTGTTTACGCAAGTGCGATATAATAAGCAGAAATATTCAATTAACAACATAATAAAATGGAATCAAAAAAACAGGAAACCGTAAACAAACAAGTATAAAATGTAATCCTTGTTTGGATCAAGTATTTAAACAGTTTTGTTGAATGGTAAGTTCTTGAAAATACTAATTCAAAAATGCACCTTTAGTTAATTAATTTTAAAGTTTTAGTTTTATTAATAAATTATTACAAGTATTCATGGAGTCTCCCTTAACCGAAATGATGAGACAATCCCAGGCCAGCTCCGAAATCAGTCCTCTGGTTGGCGAAGGGTCCGCTTGTCCACTTGTTGGCTGATCCTGTCAGTCCAAGCGAGTGCACGATCCGCCGAAGACCACAGGTTGGCGCGAGCCTCAGCACCCAGTTGCTTCCAATTCCAGGGAAATTGCTGTGGGTTATGCTAGCACCATGTCCATTGATGTGGGAATAATCCAGACCAGCTCCGTTGCGCTGGAACTGGAAGCCATTGGCCAGCTTGTTCTGCGAGGCGAAGACCTTGGCGTCCAGATTGTGCCTGCCATTGTTAAAAAGGTTCGCATGGGCCTCCTGCTGGAAGACATCCTTCACTCCGGGGTATGGGTTTTGGTCAAAGAGGCACCATGGCCATGGCTGCAAACGAATCAAGAATTTGTGTCAATAAAATGTTGAATAATTATGTTTTATAATATAAATGACTAAGGAAATACTCACTTATTGTAGGCCAAAGTACCACCAGTGGTAACTGGACCCGATGCGTGTTTCCAGCAGCGAAAAGCTGACCTGCCACATTGTGGTTGGGATTACCAATGCCCTTGGTGAGATCCAAGCGAGCGTCGGCACCACCAGCGGGATTGGAGCTCAAGGAGCCGCCCAACACTTGGCGGCGTACACGAATGGGTCGTGGTGGTGGAGTCGGAGGAGGATAATACACAAATGCTGATATGTCTGTGGAGCTGCCTCAACGATGGCGGTGAAAGCCACGATGGCTACGATTAGAATGATTGCTTTCTGCATGTTGCTGGTTGGATTGCTCGAGCTGACTGATGTCCCAAGGTAGCTAGCGATTCGTTTTATACCCTGCTTTCTGGGAAGAACTTTCTAGTGATTCACAGATTCATCTCATCGCTGTCTTCGCTTGGATGCCTTATCAGCTTGGAAATCCCCGTTCAGTTTGGTTGGTGATTTACTTTTGCTTGTTGGTCGAGGGAATCAACCTTTTCACCTCTATTTCTTATAATCTTTTATTCTGGTGAATTTTTTGTTTTGATTAATTTCATTGTTATTAATACCTAATTTATTTATGAAGAAAAAGTTTGTTTTCCATTTCAGCTGCTTTAGAAAGTAAATATAAGGTGCTACTAAAAGAAATATAAATATTACTTGGACTATAATGGAAGTTGATGATATATAAAACGATTTTATTTATTTAGTTATTTATTTATTTAATTAAATTTATTTATTTATTTCAATATGCATTTATTGCTGAGGAAAATCAGCAATAGATTTTGATAAGGTGGCCTTTATTTTTAAATTGAATTTTCTTAATCTATATGTTCAAATTATACTAAACAAGAAAATAAGCAGGCGGTTGGAACTTTAATTAATCATAACTAAGCAAAAAATTCAGATATTTACATTCGGAAATCATTTCTGTGCCAGTTTTTAATAGGTTTATAAATCTGCATAACCAATTTGAAAAAAATAAATAAATATGTAAATTTTTCACATTTTGACGAAAATTTATTTTCTTTCCTACATGCCTAGAAAGGTTCGCCTGTTGATGCTGATCAAGAGTATATATGTATATTATAGGGTCGGAAATGACTACTTCACAGCGTTAGAAGCTTCTGACTAGACTATAATACCATTTTTGAGTCGATATTATTTATATTTTTATATGACAATTTGTTCAACAAATCAAAGTTTAAAAATCTCATAACTTAGCCAAAAAATCATAAATTCTAATTCGGAAAGCTGCCCCGTGCAAGTTTTTATTAGGCTAATAAATCTGCATACTTCATTTAAAATGTAAAATAAAGCAATTGTTATCCAATTTTGACAATTTAAAAAATTTTTAAAAAAGGGGTACAAAATTTCTTTCTACCAAACATGGCTAGGTCGACTTAGCTGTTGATGCTGATCAAGAATATATATGATTTATATGGTCGTAAATGAATAGTTTTCTCAGAATTTAAATTCTGAAGGTATCATGGTAAAAAGTCCACGAAAAATGTTTTACTTGGAAAACAGGACCGTCTTGCAGACACTCCAGTTCTTGTAAATCAAATTAAAATTAAAAAGAAAATTAACATTACTAGAGTACAAACCATTTTTTAAGAGAAATAATTTGACCTGGTATGAGTTCCGTCTGAAAACCCCTAAATGTGTTCAGATATATAGATATATATTTAATTTATATTTATTTAAATAATTTAACATTAAAAATAAATATGGCAGGAACTGGCTTAACCGAAATGATGAGACAATCCCAGGCCAGCTCCGAAATCAGTCCTCTGGTTGGCGAAGGGTCCGCTTGTCCACTTGTTGGCCGATCCTGTCAGATCCAAGCGAGTGGCACGATCCGCCGAAGACCACAGGTTGGCGCGAGCCTCAGCACCCAGTTGCTTTCCAATTCCAGGGAAATTGCTGTGGGTTATGCTAGCACTATGTCCATTAATGTGAGAGTAATCCAGACCAGCTCCATTGCGCTGAAACTGGAAGCCATTGGCCAGCTTGTTCTGTGAGGCGAAGACCTTGGCGTCCAGATTGTGCCTGCCATTGTTGAAGAGGTTGGCATGGGCTTCCTGCTGGAAGACATCCTTCACTCCGGGCGTATGGGTTTTGGTCAAAGAGGCACCATGGCCATTGCTGCAATAGAAAGCGGTGAGTATTTGGAATTTTAAATCACAAAATCTCTAAGTTACTCACTTATTATAGGCCAAAGTACCACCTGTGGTAACCGGCCCCGACTGCGTGTTTCCCGCAGCGA